GAATCACATAAGAGAAAAGATCGGATTCTTCTAACCATTCATTGCTTATTATAGACACTAGCTCTTTTGTAGTCTTTTTAAGGAAAGCTTCCTTAGAAGGGTCTAAAGGTTCTTCATTCGATGAAGATTTTTTAGGTTTCTGGGGTCTCCTCATCGTATGGTAATTCGAGGTATTTACATATTCGTCAAAAGGTTACTCCTCGAATTCAAGCATAAAGTCCGAAATTGTAGTTTCCTCCTTTTCCGGTGGTTCAAGATCTAGGATAACTGAAGCTGGTGATGGGTTTGGTAAGGATTCTGGTTCAGCTATCTGGGATTCCTCCTTTAGCGGCTTCTTTTCTACTTTCTTTAGGGGTGTTCTCTAAGATTTTGTAAGAATACTTCTCCCCAAATTTACATAGACATGGAGGAACGAGCCTCCTGAAGCCGTATTAAGATGCTTCGAGGTTTTCCTATCAAGACCCATATAGAAGTGTTGAAGAAGAATAGGGTCTTGAATGGCAAGGTCAAGGTTAGTGTTAATGAGAGTATTAAAGCGTTCCCATGCCATGGGCCATGCCTAGGATTCTTTTTCTTCTTGTTTAAAAGATAGAACCTCTAAATGAAGGTTGACTACCCTAGAGATGGGAAAGAATTTTAAGCAAAAGCTAGAACATAAGGCTTCTCAATCTCCTTATCCACTCCCTATAGTGAGCGTGTACCAACATTTAGCTTTTCTCGTCAAAGAGAAAGGAAAGAGCTTCCATCGTAAGATTTCGTCTGACATGCCCGCAATGCGTAAGCATGCACAGGTTTGCTCAAACTCATTTAGATGGGAATAGGGGTTTTTATCATCTTCGCCCGAAAAGGACTGATCCTGAACCATGTTAATTAAACATGGACGTAGCTCATAGCCAGGTGTTAGGATAGACTTTCAAGATTCTAACGGCCCTAGGCGTGCGCTCGTAGGTGTAGCGTATTGATAGATAGGGTTGGATTCTGGATTCATGGTAAAAAGAAAAGATAAAAGATAAAAGAATATTGATACAAGGATAAGATAGGTTCGAAGTTAACTCAGCAACTGTTTCTCCGACAATGGCACTAGAAATGGTTATTGGTATAAATTAATGCACACAGAATAATCCGTAAGCGCACGAATATTATACCGATATAGCACTTCACCAGGAGTACCTAGTTTTATATCGATCTCGAGGAAACGTGTGTGAGATTAACTAAATCTAACTTAACCCAACTTCACAATCAATGCTAGATAATAGGAGCGTAGAGGAGATCACAAAGGTCTTCTAGTTTTAACTTCGGTAAGCTTTATCTTCTATTGTTCAATTCTGGAGATATTACTAGAGAAAACATAGGCAGAGTATGTTTCCTATAGTAACAAGGTCCTGCTAGGCCTACTAACAGGAGGTGGACTAAAAAGGATTCAACGAGGCTATAAGAATCACTCTCGCGAGCTACCACCGATCCGAAAAATAGGATACATCCACGAGTAACTGAGTCTAAGCACTACGCTTACACTACGAATACTATTTTAACCTAGGAGCTATAAGGATTAAAGTACTTAAAGAAAGTCGCAAACCTGAAGAACAATATGAACAAAATACTTACTTGAAATAGAAGTCGATTACCAGGCAATCTCAGAAACAAGCCCAAGAAGAACTTGATTCCGCCATGTACAAGCCGTAGAGAGAGCACCGACAGGCCGGGACTCCTTTAAAACTCTTTCCTCTCACTCTATCTCTCTATCTCTAATATAAAACTAGATCCTATCGAGGACTAATCTTCTCTTGATTGCTAGCTCTGATCCTGGTGAAAATATGGATTAGGGTTTTTGCCTTTTCAGCTCTCAGGATCTAACTTGGCATGCCCTATAGGGGGGTGCAGGCAGATATATAGGCCGAAACGTTAATCTTGAGCCCTTGGATCAAACTGACTTGAATAAACGATGGAGATGCAATCCTTAATGCGGTGGAGAACCGACGTAACAATGAGGGACTGCCAGATGGACCCCACAGGCCTGCCGTCCTGCAGGTGGGGCTAGCCAGCCCCACTTGTTAGTGGCTCGTGCTCCGCTTCGGAGATTCGCCTTCTGGAGTCTTCTAGAGTCTTCCCGCGCTGTTTGCGCAAATGGAATTTCATGATTTTCTTTGACGAATCGGTCCTCCTTGGTGGTTGTTGGCATTTCTAAACGCAATCATCAAGTATGGAGTTCAAATCTATCCCCGGCAACGGCGCCAAAAATACTTGTTGGTATTTCTTAGCGTCATCACTAATGATTAGCAATGCCACTAAATAATAGCCTTTATAGTTCATTAACAATTTTAGATATTTATCCGCAAGCGCACGTAGTTATCATTGTAGCATTTCACCCGGAAGTATTTAAGGTATCGTTATTTATATTTTTTTCAAAGGAAGGCATTTGATTAAGAGTCTAGTATGGATATAAACTGGAATAATAATGCTTGCAAGTACACCAATATTTATAGCAGAGATAAAAACGGTGATTTTAAGATAGTGGACACACACTTGGCATTCCTCAAAAGATAAAATAAAGAGAGAGTAAAAGAATAATCCTAGTCGAGCAGGCATTAGTCTAGTATAGTCATACAAAGATTAGTTAATGATCATACAAGTTACATAATTAGTCTTAGGGCTAACTGTGAAGCAGGGCGGGAGGCCACTGAGTACTAGTATGCCAACAACCTCATGTGACAATTTAGACTCGACACCCTAGTCAAAGGTGGGGGATTACAAGGGACGGACAGGGCTGTCACCACCTACCGCCTATCCGTCAACCGTGGAAAGGGACAATGCATTCACTTGTTTCTCCATACACAAGCACCACGCTTGCATATACAAAAACTACCCAAATCCCCCCATCCCCGACCCTACGGATCGACAAGTAAAGAACTTGGGCACACCTAACAGCACGATGAACCACCACCTCAACTTTGCTCTAATTCTAATTATATAAGTTATATGAGTGTTTAAGCATAAAGTTAAGTGTGCTACTTTCATCATACATAAATCATAGACTAGTTCATATATCAAGATTATAACACAATAACTATACTCTAGTTCATAAGTATGACCATAAATATCATATGAGAGCGTAACTTTGGAAGAACTCATATCTGTATTCATACCTAAATGTCTCTTCTTCCAAGGAACCAAGCTCTCTAAGGTAGCTTTGCTTTGCTCTAAAGCTACTAAAAAGTAAAACTACAACTACTAGAAGTGAGTGAGGTAGTGGTGTGTGAGGTGATGCTTAAGTGAAGTGTGTGTTGTACAGGGAGGGGTACCCCTCTATTTATACATGGAGCTAGACAGTGCTGGAGGCTATTCCTGGCGCGAGGACTGGCTCCCACCGCCATAGCATGGAGCCATGCCACCGCCTGTCGAAGGGGTGGCTGAGCAGCACCGGCAGGGGTCGCTCGCCCCTAGGGGTTGCTCGCCTCTTGACTGAGCCGCTCAAAACCGCCTTCGCGTGTCAGGCTACGAGCTGGACCAGGATCAGAGCCCGGTGGTGCTTTGCCCTGTTTGCACTGAGTTGATAGGCGTCTCCCTTGTTTCTTTGCGCAAATTAGCGTTGGAAAGCGCCTTTTGATGAATTATTCCATGTATTTGTGTTTATGACCTGTAAAATAATGTTCTCTAAATACATGTGGAGCTTGATTAGTAGTAAATGTATATGTGATCAAGATTGTTTATTTCTCCTCTTTTTGTGTCTTAATTGGCGGTTGAATTTGATTGGTAAAGACCGCCAATAGCGGTTTCTAATAAAATCCTGCTGGTAAAAAGATTTATCAAAACTCATGAAATTTATTAGTTAAAATTCTTAAATCTATATTGATGATCTATTTTAGTCATTTATGTAAGATATATCGACGGTTCGTGATGAACGTTCGTTACCGTCAACTCGTACATGCCTTACATGGTGCAGAGACTTAAGGCCCGTTTGGTTGGACTTTCCGTCACGGGTAGGCCGGTAGGGTCGTCCTCTTCGCACCAAATCTTGCCCATGGTTTCCTCCTCCGCCTGCCCAGAGGAGGCCGGCCCTGCGCGGCACGGCGAGAAGAAGCGAATGCGCTGCGGCAGCGGAGGCGCGGTGGCCTCGCCGGATCCCAGCGCCACGGCCGTGGCCGCGATGTAAGGGTCTCCTGCACATATGCACGCAGATCAGGCATTGTTTGTACCGTGTATTCTATTCTTGCTCCGTTTCCTTCCTTGTTTATATGGTCAGGAACTGTTCGTTATGGGCGACCGCGTATCAAGATACAAAGATACCCTTTTTTGTGTGGTTAGAGTAGTAGTATTATGTGCTGGTTGCATTGAGGAGATGCAAATGTGTTGCTGCACGTGCTGTTTGTTGCCGTGCATGGATTTTGTGAGGCTGATTGTTTGGTACTGGATCCTGACTAAATTGGATGGCACTGTTAGGTGATTGAGTAGATCCATAGCGATCATATGTTGATCTGCAGATAGGAATGTGTTTGATGCAGATTAGGATGGGAGAACTTTTCAGCAGATCAGATAATATGACCTTAAGGGAGGAAATTTCCATGTTTCTAAATTGCTATAATTTGAATCAGTTGATATATGAATGCATCCATTAAGTTGCATAATTACTGAGTAACAATAGGTTCCTTTGACCTGAAAGATTTGGGAGAAAAAATCATTTTTTTAAGGAAAATGATTTTATTGGTTTCTCAATTTTGAGAAAGGAACCTATCTAATTGATTCATATTTTGTTTCTATTCTGCTCGGTTGCACTTGCACATATTTTTTTTGAACTCATGATACCATTGGTGATTCAACAAATTTTGAACTCAAATGCAAACTGGGGATACATTATTTGAACAAAATCATAATGTACGGAAACAGCTAGAATTATATATTTCTGGTAAATTCATCATAACATAGTTATTTTGAAAATTTAGGTTGAGGGTGTTGGATACTTTTGAAACAAAGTGGAATGTTCATGCAACAAAGTTGACACTAGAATGGCTAACTTTTACTTGTTTCAGGATCACTGCTCATCAAGAAGTTTCACGGAGTACATTGACGGAGCTACAACTGTAAGACGATGAGAAGATTCAAATTGATTTGTTCAGATATTTTGATTATTATGTATATAACTTAGCTATCCCCCTTTCATTTTTTGTGGGTAGACATGTGGAAAGTGGCATCCAGGTGAATCACAGAGACCTGAAATTGATGATGCCCCCATTTTCACTCCAACTGAAGAGGTTTGTAGACTATACGTCTCTGCTCAAAATTGTGCAATGAGATATGCTTGATAAGATAGTACTCCTTTGTTCTTTCCATTGATGTTTTAGAACTCATGTAGTTGAGCCTTTTAATGTTTGTCCACCAATATGTTAAAAGTTATCAAGGTTGGACATGTAAAAACTAGGTAACTTGATGTTTCTTGCAAGAATTATTATGAATTTGTTAATTTCGAGCAGTATTACAAGAAATAGCATTATAGTTTCATTTGAATAATATTGTATTCTGACAGGAATTTAAGGATGCAATCGGATACATTGCTAGCATTCGTCCGCAAGCAGAAAGATATGGAATTTGTCGTATTATTCCACCATCTTCTTGGAAACCTCCGTGTCCTCTGAAGGAGAAGAGTTTCTGGAAATGTACAGAGTTCAATACTAGAGTTCAACAAGTTGACAAGCTTCAAAACAGGGTGACCACAAAGAAAAGAACACAACCTCGAGTTCAGAGGAAAAGAAAGAGAAGAAAGAGACTGAGGTTTGGGATGGCACACAGATGTCCTAGTTCAAGTGCGGACTCCGAAGAGAAATTTGGCTTTCAATCTGGGTCTGATTTCACATTAGAGGAGTTTCAGAAATATGCTGATGAGTTCAAGCAGGAATATTTCGGAATGAAAGGGAGTGATGAAATTTATATTTCTGAAATTAAGAACCACATGAAAATATGGGAACCATCAGTGGAGGAAATCGAGGGAGAATATTGGCGGATAGTCGTAGGCCCTAGTGATGAAGTTGAGGTATGTCTGTAGATAATACGCAGATCATGTTGTTATGTATTTTATCAAATTATTACTTATCGATGTCAAACTTCCTTTGCCTAGGTGGATTATGGTGCTGATTTGGACACTGCAACCTTTGGCAGTGGTTTTGTTAAATTGTCTTCTTCAGATGGAAATAAGCAAGATCCATATGGTGTGTCTTGTTGGAACTTGAATAATCTGCCACGGCTGCCTGGCTCTGTTATCTCATTTGAAGATGAGGATATATCTGGTGTTGTTGTCCCATGGCTTTATGTAGGAATGTGCTTCTCTTCATTTTGCTGGGTAAGATTCTTAGCTAATCTGTTTCACCATTTCTCTCATGAAATGTGGATCCCCATACTCAGTAAAGGGATCCTACTGGGATTGACGCTGCAAAAAATTATATAGTGTGAGTGTGCTGTTCAGTGTTCGTTTTGGATTACATTGATATATATCGTGGTCGGAACAAAAGTGCATAAATGATTTATGACATTGTTGTTCATGGAGCACATTCTAATTTATCTTTTTATATTAATTTGCTGCAGCATGTGGAAGACCATTTTCTTTATTCTCTGAATTACATGCATTTTGGTGAACCAAAAGTTTGGTATGGTGTCCCCGGTGGTGAGGCAGTAAAGCTGGAAGAATCTATGAGAAAACTTACCCAAACTGTTTGAAGAACAGCCTGACCTACTTCATGAGCTGGTAACCACTTTTTTCTGTTATATAATTGGCAGATCGCTATGTAGTGACTTACTGCCAGGTTCATCTTTATTTTGTTCTGACATAACATAGTTGAATTACCACTAAAGCTATTAAGCATTAAAAGCAGTACATTGTTCCTTTTTGTCATGAATGCCGTACTTGGTATTATTACCTGGTATTGATCATATAATTTGTAGGATCTATTGCTACATTATGAGATGGCAATTAGTTGTTAGAGATGTTTTGTTTGTTGCTGATTTCTGTAACAATGTTTTACAATTGGAAAAAATCTACTTAACCCCCCACCTTTCATACATGGTCTACTTCACCCCCCAAACTATGAAACCGTCTGTTTTACCCCCTGAACTTTCCAAAACCGTCTATTTTACCCCCCCGGGCGGTTTTGACAGTGGTTTGCTACAGTGCCAGTGGGTTTGAATTTTCTTTTTTTTTATTTATTTTCGGTGAATTTTTGAAAAATCATAGAAAAATCATAAAATGAAAAATCTAATTTTATTGGACTCCACATGAGTAGATCTACACAGTGAATATATAATACGGTATGCTTTAGTATAATTTTTTTTTTTTTAGCTTTAGATTAATTGGAAAATCCAATTTTTTCTGTAATTAATTAGAATATCAAACCGCCCGGGGGGGTAAAATAGACCGCTGTCAAACCACCGAAACTGTAGCAAACCCTCTGTTACTGTAGCAACCGCTGTCAAAAAACCGTCCGGGGGGGTAAAATAGACGGTTTTGGAAAGTTCAGGGGGGTAAAACAGACGGTTTCATAGTTGGGGGGTGAAGTAGACCATGTATGAAAGGTGGGGGGTTAAGTAGACTTTTTCCTTTTACTATTTATCTGTGATGTGAAGAATTCCTCCTCGTGTGCTAGAGAACATATGTATCTCATCCATTTTCATTCTGAATTTTCTTGGAGCAGGTTACACAGTTATCTCCATCTGTTTTAAAATCAGAAGGAGTTTCTGTTTACCATGCTGTTCAGAAGTCAGGTGAGTTCGTTCTGACACTACCACGAGCATACCATTCTGGATTCAACTGTGGTTTCAACTGTGCGGAGGCAGTAAATGTCGCTCCTGTGGATTGGCTGCCTCATGGAAAGTGTGCTGTTGAGCTCTATAGAGATCAGCATCGCAAGACATCAATATCACATGACAAGTTATTACTGAAGGCTGCAAAAGAAGCTATCAGACAACTTTGGATGAACCTTTTGAATTGCAAAAGTGGTAAAGGAGAATACAGATGGCTGAACACATGTGGAAAGAATGGAGTCCTGACAAGTGCAATTAAGGTAGTAGCTTACTAATATTGGAACTTACTATCTGCCTCTTAATGGATTTGCATACTGATATTTTATATTGTGTTCTTTCACTATTTCAGACAAGAGTTAAGATGGAGGGTGCTGCATGGGAGGCGAATGTTCCTTTGAAAAGTAAGAAGATGGACAAGGATTACGATTCCAATGACCGAGAGTGCTTTTCATGCTTTTATGATCTGCACTTGTCTTCTGTCAGTTGCCAGTGCACACCTAACCGCTTTGCTTGCTTAAACCATATGAATCTTCTTTGTTCATGCGGAATGGACAGGAAAATTACATTGTTTCGATATAGCATGGAGGAGCTTAATACTCTTGTAGCAGCTCTGGAGGGTGATCCGGCTGCAGTTTGTTGCTGGGGACAGGACCACCTAGGCTTAGTTTGCCAATCTGGTTCTCTGAAGCACAGGAAGATGGACTCATGTAAAAGCACAGAATTTTCAGGATTAGCGATTGATGCCAATCTTGTTTCTGGATTTGGTGGCAATCAAAATCACTGCCATGACCTTCAAAAGCCAGCAGGATTCCAGCAAGAAAAAGGAATCCAGAATAATTGTCTTAATCTCAACATGGAGGATCCACCATGCAGTTCCAGAATAAAAGAAGAGCATGGCAAGGATAGGATGGTTCTTGATCATAGGCCTCTACAGAAAACTGACAGTCCATTTAGAATGACCTCTGAGTGCAGTTCTTCATTGTCTTTAAATTGTTCAGCCAACTTACTCTTTCCCTCAAGAAATCAAGCTAGCAATTCTGACCTAACTTCCAAGACTACTAAGGAACTATTTGGTGTTGACATTGGAAATTTGGCAAAGCATTCTGATGGTCAAGTTGGTCAAATGGTAATGGCTTCAGGGCGATCTGATGCAGCATCTAGGCCAACATCAAGGCACCAGGTTGAGCCACTAGACTATGGAATGGTAATGATTGGCAAAAGGTGGTTCAATAATCAAGCTATTTTTCCTAAAGGTAATAAACGAGTGCAATTTGCATTTGGGATGAGTAAAATGGTCCTCTAGAATTGTGGCAAGTAGAGTAAATAATGTCATTCCAGGTTTCAGAAGTCGAGTTACATTTTACAATATACAAGATCCGATAGCTCGGGTGCTTTTATGTTTCAGAAGTCCTGGATTCTGGACCTCTTGGACCATTGTTTAAGGTATAAATATGTTTCTCATGTTCTTCTATTTTCATGGTGGAACTCTCTTTGTTTTCTTGTGGATCATAGTAAAGATTTCTTGCTGAATTAATTACAGGTGACCTTAGAGCAGGTTCCTGATGTCTCTTTCACTCACACCTCACCAATGAGTTGTTGGGATATTGTTAGAGACAAGGTCAATGAACAAATAGAAAACCTACAAAGAATTGGAAAATGTGGCGTTCCTAATTTTTTACCACCTGATTCTGTAAATGGGCTTGAAATGTTTGGGTTCTTGTCCCCACAAATCATTCAGGTATAATTTTAGTGAGATCGTGAACGTTTCTTTTGAAAGTTGGTAACTTCTAGTACCAGGAACTATAATCTAACAAAGAAATTCACTTATTCTTCATTAGGAAATCGAGGCTCTAGATCCCCATCACCAGTGTTTAGACTACTGGTTATCAAAGGCTGCTTCTCCAGCGAAAGAACTCCCTTCAGATTCCACGAAGTCAGCAGTGCTTAAATGCTCCAGTAATTCCCATGTAAGATTACTTGGAGTTGAGATCGCAAAGGAGTCTGAAAAATCGAGTCTGCAGTAGTTCCTGTGTCGATGAGGTCACACTTGAGAAGCTGCCAAAGAAGGCTAAACTGCCAGATGGACAGAAACTAACAGCAATGAAAAGGTATTCTGCAGCTGATAGCAGCAAGAACCTGAGACGGTAGGCGCATTCTTTAGGATGAAATGAAGTAACAATTAGGTAAATTAGGCCTGAATAGATAAAACATTCAAGTTTCGCCTCAGAATGACCCTAGACTAAACTGAACTAGAGTCACCATTGATTTACTTTTTTATAGACAGCTTCCAGTGACCGTTCTCCTTTTAGATTCTTTCATTCATAAGGATGGCAGGATGGCTTATTGTCCACTAATTGTTTTCCTGATTAGTCAATTTCATGGTAATCAATATATGAGCTATTTGTTTGTCTCAGAAATAGTTTGCATGTACAAAACATTCGGTGCTGGAAATCTGAAAGATGTGAAGTTTTTCGATTATGGTTAACCTAATTGTGTTATGGTTTCAGCTCTCTTGTAATATCCATTAGTGTTCTAATTTTGCCCCTAGTTAATTTTGGACGAAAGGGGACATGATGCGGGTGTTTGTGGTTTGAAAAATGAGTTAGTCCATCTACTCATTCCTCACTTTATTTGTTTGGTTCGTGGAATGGAATAGGATGATGCATCATCATCATCTCATTACTCATAAGTCAATAATTAATACTAGTACGAGGAATAGTGTTATTCCACCAAATTTGAGGAATTAACTAATAATGCATAACCTTATTTAGGATGGAGTGGTTTCTCAAACCAAACATCCTAGATATAGCCGTGCATTGAGCGGAGTTTTATGTATCCATCTGCCATGAAAGCAATAAGATGCTGATGACGTCAATTGTAACGTGTTGTCAGTCATCAGACACCGATACGAATGATCCCTTTTGCTGAGTTCATTCTTGCCATCACCGAACATTCCCTATCTGGATTGAACAGGCTCCACGCCTGCTTGACCATCTTGCATTTGAAGAACAGGTGATCCCCATCCTCATCATGTATACCGCAGACAGGAAAAATGGGATCAATCTTCATCCTTCTTTGCACCTAAGTCTTTCTCAAAGGGTGCCTGTTCAAGGCAAGTCTCCAAAGAAAATGCTTGATTTCGTTCTGACACATCTGTTTTTCCATCTGTCATGCCTCCACTGCTCTGGCCGCCACATCTGTTTCGATCTCGCATGGTCTGCCCGACAAACTTTGTAAGCGCTCCGCACGCTGAAAATCCCTTTGGGTCAAAGTTCCAAGGTAGCTTATTTGGTCGATCTTCATGCACTGGTAGAGCCAAAATTATTTTTGCATCCTCCCCCCAAAACATATCACATACCAATATACCATATCCTGATCCCAGCTACCTCTGAATGGATCAAATAACTCCACAACTTGGGTAAGGGTGTGTTTGGTTTGAGAAATGAGGTGGTCCATCATCTTCTCACTCATCACTTTTTTATTTGGTTTGTGCAATGGAATGAGTTGATCTATCACCACCTTATTTCTCACAAGCTAATAATTAGTATATGCATGAAGAATGAGTTTTTTTTTGACAATCTGCAAACTTTATTATTAGCAGCAAGAAGCTGCAATCAAGTGGAATGGTTCCCAAAGTACAGACTACAGTGCCATCATGATAGGGCATCTGCTAGTATGATCAGCATTGGTACAACTGAAGCTAGGTGGAGTACATTCATTTTCTGTGCTTCTGAAAGCCTGATGGGCTAGAATATGCACTGTTTTTTTACGCAAAAACAGTGGGGGAGTTCCCCATGGTGTTTTCAAAATTTTATATAAAAAACAGGAACAAAAGTCCAGGGAAATACTTACAACGGGGAGGAGAAAGGAGAGCTATTGAAAGGTGTTTGGTTTTAGTAATTGAGTGACAACCTAGATGGACTAATATGTGTTTATGTGAGATAAACAGGTGATTAGTCCACAAGTACATGTGTTTGAGCAACATATGCCATGATGGTGAAGATGACTTAGATATGTTGTAAGGCTCACACATGTGATGAAGGAGATCATTGCATATGAGACATGACATTGAGTCATGTGACTAAGGTGGAGAAGATCAAGACAAGAATTGGTTTGATGGACCGATTGCAAGCGTGAAGGGCAAGTTGGAGGCTTTGGAGCGATGGACAGTTTGGCGATGAAGCTTGAGCAAGACTTGGCACCGATGTACGAAGGCAACGGTGAAAAGCAAGTGAGGTCAAGATCGATGAACTAATACGGTCACGTGATGATATGAAGTGGATCATATCATTTGGTGATTGGTTGGTGCATGTGTTGCATCAACAATGGAGGAGTTCGAATGGAATGCGCAAGGCAAAGGTATAACCTAGGGCATTTTATTTCACCGGTCATAGGTTGTGTAGAGAAGTGCTTGACCGGGTTTATGATAGATGACCGTACTATCAAGAGGGTAAGCTTGTTTGCATATCGGTCATCCAGTGCCACTCGAGTGATCTAACTTTGCATCGTTGCTAGGATCGAGTGGTGCGTCAAGTTGAGTGGTTAACTCCAAATGTTTGTGAAAAGCTAACACATGTGCACAAGGTGTTGTACACTTGGTGGTGTTGGCACATTTGCAAATGAGAAGTTGGTGAAGAAAAGCAGTTGAATGTGCTGGTCATGGGGTGACCGGACGCGTCCGACATGAGGACCGGACGCCTCCGGTATCTGACTCAGGCGGCAGTGTTCCCGACGTGACTGAACGCGTCCGATATTGATACCGGACGTGTCCGATATCGATACCGGACGCGTCCGATATTCTGGCTAGGCGCGGGCAGAGTTGCCAAAGTGACCGGACTCTGGTTCGTAGCAGTGACCGGACGCTGAGCAATCACTGTTGAGTGTTAGGTCATGGTGACGTGGGGCACGGGTGTTGCTCCAGAGAGGACCGGACGCAGGGGCGCGTCCGGTCGGCCACACCAGACGCGTTCGGTCACAGTTGAGTGGCTCTAGGAGCTCTCTGGACTCGACTGGATGCTGTCCCTCCTACATTCGATCACTTCGCTGTAGTGTGTCCAATGCGTCGCGTGAGAGCGTGTCAAAGAGGGCCATTGGGCAGCAATGGCTACTTCGTTTAATTGGGACACGTGGCGGTCAAGCAGTGACCGGACGCGTTCAGTCGCCACACCGGACGCAGCCGGTGCACTTGACCTGCGCGTCCGGTCGTCTCGAAATCTGCCCAGTGAGGGGTAACGACTATTTTAGCCTTTAGGGCTATAAATAGAAGTGTTGGTTGGCCTTCGGCCGAGGGCGCCCCCTTGGTGGCTTATATAGGTGTGCTTGGGAGCCCTCTAACTCACTTGAGCTTGATAGTGTTTATCCGATCGAGTGAGTGAGCGATTCTAGTGTGATTGTATCGTGAGGTTGCATCGAGTTGCAAGCCGGTGGTGCTTGTTACTCTTGGAGATTGCCACCTTCTAGATGGCGTGGTTGTGGTCCCGTTGAAGCACTCAAAGAAGATTGTGCGGTGCTCCGGAGAAATGATTGTGAGGGGGATTGTGCTCATCCCGCGGGAGCCGCGAAGAGCAACTCTAGTAGAGCGAGACGCGATTGGCGACAAGTGGTCCGGCCAGGTCAAGTGCTAGAGCTTGTGGTAAGCACTCCACGTGGGAGAGTGTGACTTGTGGGTCACCACTAACAAGAGGACCGACGACAACCTTGGAGCTTGTCTCAACGGGGACTAGCGTGTTGGCAAGCACGTGAACCTCAGGATAAAAATCATCGTATTATCCTTGTATTCCCGTTGGTTTGCATCATCGTTACACAAGCTTGTATTTACCTCATTTGCATTGTGCTTGTGTAGTTGCTCTTATAAGTAGTTAGCTTGTGTAGCTTGCTAGTTTTCTTCTTGTTTGTGTAGTATAGAAGTAGCTCCCTTGCGTGACTAATTCGGTTTGTGTAACATTGTTAGTCACATTGCTTAGATTGTGTAGCTAAGAAATTTGCGCTCTATAATTTGGCTTATATAGACTTGTTATTGAGCATTGCTAGTGAGCTTAGTGGCTTTGTACTTTTGCTTACTAGCATGTGTGGAACTCCCTCGTTGCTTGAAGTACTAGCGGCATAAGTTTGTGTAACCTTGCTTCTAAAATTGGTTAGGTGAGCTCTACCTAGCCCGACACCTTGGTTGTCTAATTAGGATCTTTATAAGGTACTTGTGAACTTCGATAGAGGAGTGTAGTCTTGGCTAGACCGATTGTTTTAATTCCGCATTTGTTTTAGTTAACCGATGCGATTAAACTTAGAAAAGACTATTCACCCCCTCTTGTCCGCCATCTTGACCCTACAGCTATCCATCCACAAAATAGAAAGAGAAAAAAAAATATTGAGCGTCAAGCCAGAAACGAACTAGCAGCCTGTTCGGGAGGCCGTATCATATCGTGGATTATTTACTGCTGGCTGGTTTGGTGTGAGAGAAAAACACTGTTCCCGGCTGGAAATTTAGCGAACAGGCTGTAGAACTCTGTGTCATTAATGCGAAAAGACTGGAGCAGCTTCTTCCTTGAAGTTTCTGAGCCATCTGTTGAAGCATGCTTGAACTCCATAAAAAAACCAGCCTATTTCTGATTTTCCAAAGCTCCTAGGCCGCAATGAGGAAAATTTCCATGAAGAATGGTAAACCCGTCTGCCGTCTACTACGTTCTATTCTCCTATGTATGTCATCGTCATCAACCCAAGTAATCCCAAGCTTTTCCCAACACTGCTTGGCAAAGCAACATTCGAAGAAGAGATGATCAATATTTTCCTCTAAACCATCCTCACAAAAGCACACAGAGGCTATCCGCCTGCACATTGAAGTTTCTCCTTGCAAGCAGAGTTTTTGTGTTCAATCTGTCCAGCAGGATCAACCAGGCAAAGAATTTGACCCTCGGAGTAACTTCAGATTTCCATACCATGCGAAAGACAACCGGCGCACGAACACTGAGGAAGGCCAACTTGTAAAGCTTAGCAGCAGCATACGTACCACTTCCCCAGCAAAATATCC